ATATATTCTAGTACCATTCTGTCTGAACCAGAACAAAACTAATAGGTAAATACCTACATAAAATTGCCATAAATATGCTTCCGAACCCTCTCAATAAATAAAATGAATTCACATTCTATTAAATTGCTTTGATTGGAATAAATTATTGGTTATGAATAAAAACTAACCTATATATCATAACTCTTGTCCCTCACGCTTGCTTTCACTTTTCCCTTAATGATTTTCAATCCAGCATCAAAATTGCACATTTCTAAATATGCCAGACGAAAGACTCTGTTCACCTCTCTGTATGCATTTCAAATCTTCAGGAAAATAATCATCGATTGCAGATAATTTTATATTTGCCATTGTTACTTCAGATTACAAAGTGATTATTACTACTGGAATAGAAGCTTGTCTGAGTTTAGTTTGGAATATGAGGCTTCCTTAAGATTACTATGAATTTGTATTATTAATTACTGAATAGAATGGATGAACTGATGAACGTTGATTACGTTTTAGGTTAGTTTGTTAGTAGTGGCCGAGAATATAGGTATTCTCGGGTAGTGGAGTGGGAGCGGAATTTGTTGACAGCTGTGACGTTACGTTTACCTGAATTGATCTACGACAATAGAAAATTTCTTGAACATCACTAGTTATACCTGAATTGATCTACAACAATAGAACATTTCTTGAACATCACTAGTTTCATTTCAATATAAAAAAAATATAAAGGGGAATTTTAATGATGTTCGACATTGATACATTTAGAAATCATGAAGGTATCTAGCTCAAGATGTTTAAGAGCTAGCATTCATTATGTACTTGTGTAGTTTCATATTGAATTCAAACCTTCATAAGGTCCCCATGTAAATTTTTTTTGAAGTTGGACCTCGCGCCAAAAGTGAAATCCTAACCTAACTAATATGGTCTATTACGTTATTGATGTCACCGTATGTGTTTACTTCTATACGGTGACATTGTCAACCATATAACAAAATTGAAAATTCAAAAGACTACCTACGCTGAAAATGGGAAATTCTTTTACTATTAATATGGAAGAAAATTTTAGGAGGAATCAGGAATTTATCACAGAAATGAATACCATAAAAGTTAATATTTCCCTTATAAGAAATATGTAGTTTTCATTAAAAGGCAATAATATTTTCAGATTGAAAGGCAGTTGCAGATGAGAAATCAAATGCGAGAAAGGCAAGTGGCTTTGGAAATTGCAAAGTCTCGTGAATTGTTCTACTGGTATGGTGCATTTTACCTAACAAGCATCGCTTGGGCAGTTACATGGTAGTGGTGTGGATATCTGTTGTATATTGATTATACAGGGTTCACAGTTACAGGTTCAAAAGGAAACCAGTATTTTTAACACCGTTAGTTCCCTTAACTTTTGTTATCACCTATCAGGCTGATTTAGCATATGGCAATAAACTACAACGAATTATAGGTCAGTAAAGTTTTTCATCACTTACTACTACTTGGTCTATTGGATCGTCACCGGCCTACTGGCACTAGTTCTATATAGATTAGAGTTGAAATCCATCACCAATGCGAGAGTTTTGAATTTCAGTTTGACAGTATCAGTACTAGCTACAATATAAGGGCAAATATATGATTTTCTGACTTTCCCCAAATATTTTCT